ACATTAGGTATTACACAGTTTTCCAGTTTGTAGTTAACAGTACTTTTACTGAGGTTCAATTGCCTTAGATTATTTGATAAAGTATTATAAATCTTGGCAGCTACATAAATACTTGTCTTCTGCCCAACAGTTAATTTGGTTTTTGGTAATGGGAGGTTTTTATTCCTCGTTGTGCTTGTTCGTTGTTGATGCAATAGTTTTAAGTACTCATAATTATATTTAATTGATTCCAATTGAACTGTTTGTTTGATGCTTAAAGGAAAGTTTACTGTTCCGCTGATATTTCGTTTCTTTATTATTTTTATAATTTTATTCTGCTATGCTTGTAACAGTAATAATTGATTTTTGTATGCATCACCCCATGCTAATGTGTCGTAATTTACATAACTATGGAAAAGCGCGTAATAAATTAAATTTGTAAAACTTAAATTAGGCTTCACGAAGAATTTACAATTTGCAAAACCTAAGTCAGTCCTCATATTTCGAGTAACGAGATGATACCTACTACTTTTTTTATTTCAATTGCCTAACATTCTGAATATAGACGTGCAATGTGGATTTACAATTTGGAAATTCAAGCTAGACTTTATGAATAATACACCATTAGTAAAACGTAATTGAAGCCTAATATCTCAAGAAAGGAGGTGATACTATATTTCATTTCAAATGCATATGAAGAATTCTGCACATAGACGGTCGATGTGAATACACACGTACGCTTACGTTCGCGTGTATATGTCTCGACGATCAGCTGTAGCGATGTTTACATTCGTTGGCATCCTCGACGACGGCGTGGCGCGTGGTGGGGTCGCGGCCACTGGCCAGTTCCTTACAGCCTTCCGAGCTGTAGGTATCGTTTTCGCTCGTAGTTACCCTAATTGCTAAATCGTTACCGCTCGCGGGTTCACGGTGAAAGTTTCATAGAGACGCAAAGTGCGTGGTTTATGTGTCAAATGTATTATCGCCGGTGCCATAATCAAGCGAAAACGGTAAGTCGTTAATTACGAAAAAATCATTTTTTATATAAAAATGATTAATTGACATAAACCTCCTAGACTGCGAATTTCATGCATTTGTAGCAAAATTGATTATATAAAAAATACATATATTGTAGAAAAGTACATAAAATATCAAACTGGATAGGATGAAGTATAAATAATTAAAAAACATTCTTCAATTGTTAATTTTGCATAAAAATCCGCAGTCTAAAAATCAGCGTCGGACTTAAACATACAAGATTTATTCGCCGTGTGCGTGTTGCGTTCGAGCGTGTGTCCTATCGGCAGAGTTAGCGAATAATCCGGCTGAGCTACTACATATATAGTAGCCGCTGTCGTCAATGCAACGCGTTCTATTTGTTAGACGATATCATGCAGCCCTCGCTATCTCTTGCGGTTTTCGAATCTCGAGATAATTTCCATACGTACGTAACTGCGTGTGGCGGATTCTTTTCCCGTTATCAAGCCATGTGCGATTTCTTCACGAATTTCGTTTAATTCCGACTCTCGGTTCGACCGCCGGTTAAACTTCCGGTCAAGGTGAACCGCGACGCGATTGCGTGCGATCGTACCGTTTCGATCTTTCCGCGGTGGCTTTAGCGAGCCTCGTAGCCTCGTTTGGCGTGAGTACCGTGCCCTGCTACCAAAATGGTGTCAGACACCGAGTGTAAATAACCTTATGAACATAAGAATAGACGTACGAGACGAATTGGGTTTATATATCTGTTGCGCCGAAGAAAGCGTTCCTATGTATATTAGACGAACGGCCCCGCGTTTTGGCAACCGTCCCCGTTACGTTTCGTACAGACGCGTCTCGAGTGAAATTCTCTGACACGGTTACCTCGATTTCGGAAACGGTAGTCACCAATTCTTCATCGATCACAGCAGATATTATTGTTTACTTTATACGCCTGAGAATTGAACAGTTTTTCTGTCTTGTAAACGTCAAGAATACATATCGTCGATTCATATAACTCGCATGACAGTACGTTTAAATTGTGTGTTTTATTAATGTATGTTTGAATCTACCTCAGAGTGGAATCAAATTCCTGCTTGAAATTCTGTGAAATTCCAAAATTAATGACGAATTTAAGTAGAATTGTACCGAGTTTCGAGTTGGGATGTTATTTCACGATATTTTAGATTAGATTCGTATTGTTTATATGTATATTCGAGTTAGAATCGCGATATACTATCGTACGAGTTAGATGAATAGAAGGCGTTGATATTAATTATTAAATTAGGTTCCTGATGAATCACAGCAAATATAATTGTGTTAGAGCAAGAATATTGTTTACGTCTGAGAAATTGGACGCATTTTCCGTCTTTTAAATGTCAAGAATACATATGCATTAATGAATTAGGTAATAAGTTATTACTGGTTCATTCATTATAGTCAGTATTCTTTTTCTTCTACACTAATTCATTATTCGTTATCTCAATTAACACGAAAATTGTTTGAAAGATTTGTGTAATAAGTGACAGATTTGTACAATTGTTATCCAGGACAAAGTCGACTTTTGACCTCTATGCTATTTTATACACCTAAAGTAATTCATAGTAAATACAATAGTAGCGTTAAAAGTATAACTAATATTGTCTACGTCTAAGAAATCGAAAGTATTTTCTATCTTCTAAATGTCAAGAATATATTTGTATTAATGAATTACGTAACCAAGTTACTACATGTACCTTTATTTTAGTCAATATTCTTTTTCTTCTGCTCTAATTCATTGCTCGTTACCTCAATTGATTCATTGAAATTGTTTGAAACTTCGTGATAATAAGTGGAAACACAAACAGTCGTAATTTATCAAAGATGCATATAACTAATACTATTTATCCCTGAGAAACTGAACGCTTTTTCTATCCTTTAAGTGTCAAAAATACGTACATCTATGCATTAATGAATTAGGTGATCAAATTATTATTCATACATTCATTTTAGTTAATATTTTTTTATTTAGCTCTAATTTATTATTCATTATCTTAATCTCTGCTTCATATTAACTCACGAGTAATCACTAATTTCTAATGGATAACAGAAAATGTAATATACTATTTACTTCATATACCTGAGAATTGAGCTTTTTCTATTTTCTAAATGTAAAGAAAGATTATATATATGTATATATATGTATTAATGAATTAGGTAACAAGATTCATTTTGGTCAATTGTCCTGGTCTAACTTATTATTCGTTAGCTTCATTTCTGTGTCATGTTAACTCACGTTTGGAAGGGAAGTAATAGACAGTCCTTAAGCATTTTATAAAATGCATAGAAATCGACGAGTTCCAAATCTCCTAAATGTTGAGAATACACATGAATTAGATTCCTGATGAATCATAGCAAATGTATATAGTTGTGTTAAAAGAATAACTTACTGTTTACGCCTGAGTATTGAACGCATTCTAAATGTCAAAAATGTATATGTATTAATGAATTAAGTAACAAAATTATTACCGGTGTATTCGTTTTAGTCAATATTATTGTTCTTCTCTAATTCATCTTTTGTTAGGTCAACTAATTAATTATCTGTTAGGTAGTATTACGTTTAACAAATTACAATATCTTGATAAGAAGCAAATAATAAAATGATACTTCGTTTTTGTTTGGTACATTTGTTTTACAGTGAACAATATTAATTTCTGCATCATATGAACTTAAGAAATTTTTGTGATAATAAGTGACAGAGCATCGCATTAATTGAAGAAACTTTCATGATAATAAGTCCTTGAGCAGTTTATGAAGGGAATATACGTATAAGAATCGATGAGCCCCAAACTCTGTGCTATTTTAAACACCTGAAGCAATTTCAACGAATTCGTATGCAGAATTTGAACGTTATTGCATAATTTTCGTTGTCATTGTAGTGAATATTGTTCTTCTGCTGTATATAGTTCATTTAGTAACCTCGTGTTAACTGACGAAAATTGTTTGACAGAAAAATGATGGACAGTCTTTACGGAATTTATGAAGGAGGTACATAAAAATCGACGGACTCCACACTCCGTGCTATTTTAAACACCTAAAGTAATTTCAACAAATTCATATCAAGACTTCGAACGTTACTGCGTAATTTTCAACGGCGGATACTCGCGCTAATAGATCGTTAACACACTTGACCTTTCGAACGATGGTACAAGAATGCGTTTCATACAAGTTATGTTGAATTAGCTGTGGACTTGAATTAGAAAATATTTATAATTATAAGTAGACTTTATGGTTCAATTTTCACTTTCATTCGTTTCACTAAATTCCATAATAACACATGTTAACTTCAAATTGATGTNCGTGTTCTTATTGATCAGTGTTTTTCGTTAATAATTTAAAAACCATGTCTCACTTTGCATTTTGACAAAGGAAATTGTTGTTCAGAAACACATACAGAGTCGCCTCTCTTCGGCTTTAACACTTTCTGGGATACCCTGTATAATCTCCAAGAAAAGTTATACGTGTTTAGTATAATGTAAATTCTTAAATTTGAATAAATCATAATTTTTAAACTTATACTAAGTTGTTTGATTTTGCCACGTCTAGTGAAGTCCATAAGTATTCGTACACATCTCAAGATTGAGTAATTTTTTTAACACGTTAAGTGCCAAACCTGTTTTGTCTTTCTTTTTATTTAGTCATTAATTGCTGCGTTACCCATTAAGTCTTTTAACAATATTCACTACTACTGCTCTTGGTAACAATGATATTACTTATACTTATATGATCTTCAAATTATTTAAAATTTATTAATAGAATATGATTTTTTAAATTGTATATCGTAAGTCAACAGTGACTAAACGAAGTCATCTGAATTTTCATATGATTTTTTAAATTGTACATAAATCAACAGTGACTGAACGAAGTCATTTGTAAAGCAAACAACATTATTATGAATAATTTATGGAGTCTAAAAAGAGTGAAAATGGGTTTTTACCATTTTGTCAATATTTCTTTAACGCGATGAGGTATCCAAGAGATTTTTGTTCCAAAATACTACGTAATCTTCTTACGTTCTGTTTGAAAATTAATTTATGGATTATTCAAAGTTCACGGTCTACCGGAGTGAGATGAAACGTGTATTTATGAATATTTTTAAAGTTCAATGAGTTATACGTTTGGTTTCCGCTCCCAAAGGTTACCCATACAAATAGCTAAAAATAAATTTTAGGATTTTACTCCAATTATTCATCTAGAATCCATTGTTATAATATAATATAATAAATTCTGTTCTTCGTTCTCATTACGAGACAATACCATTGCTTTTACGTTTTGACGATTAGATGTGCCCTTATATCATTACCTGTTTCCAACATATTTAATATAAATTGCGTTCTGTTACAACTAAACGTAACACATACACTGTCTCTCATGCCGATAAAAAGAAAGAAACTCTCATATTTAGTTTCTTTTTCTCAATCGTCTGATCTCAAGCGGTCTCCCATTTGGGTGTTCCGTCTATTCCCTATGTATACAGACATGTATGTATGGATGTCTATGCTTTTTATTAACAACTGATCATGAGAAGAATTTTTACACGTTTCTCTTTCTCTCGATGCGTCCAATCTTTTTATGGCATAAAACTTTACATAACTTACTTAGATCTACAAAAGGCATTAAATTTTTATTAGAGTTCCAAATAAAGACAAGTCGTGTCTGCTACTTTTTCTGATGCCTGTGCAGATTGCGAGAGACGCGTTTATCTTACCGTTTTTCTGCTTCTCTTTTTGATATTGTCTTTACCTTTTGAATTCGCTATCAAGTTCACCGGTAATACGCCCCGTCGCATAAGAGACGTGGATATAAATAAAACGGGTGGTATCGATTTTTTCCTGGCATGGGGGAATAAAAGCCGGAGGGTGACCGTCGCAGGAATTGCAATCGATATCATTATCAAGTCAATTATCTGCTTGGGACATATTCGTCTATTGATAATTCGGTGCCACTTTCATGTGAACTTTATTTCAATCGTGTAATATAATTGAGCATTATTTAA